TGCATCGTAATAGTCAACAATGCGTTCACGATATCGCTTGACAAGGTGATCGACACGGAGAAGAAAGGCTATATTGAGGCCGAGGTTATGCGAGAGTTGCTCACAACAAAAGGCACCCCGTTTCGAGAGAAGGAGATGGAAGGTCTAGTGAATATCATTTTTTTTCTTGTTGCTGTTTTATTACTAACAAAATCATCGTATTCCTTTCAGCATTCCTTGCAGCAGCAAAGGATCCTCCGACGGGACGAATTTACTACGAAGACTACATCGCAGTGCTCACGCAGGCGCTGGATCCAAAGAAGCTCTGAATGATACATGAGATCGTTCTGTTGGTCGTGACGTGATCGTTTGAGGTGGTCACGTGGATGGCGAGGAGATACTGTAACCCTGAATTAATTCTTACAGCGCTACCGTGACCCTACGGACTGTCTTTGGTACTGCTCGAACAGCTAAAACTCGAGGAGTTTGCGTCCGCTGAGGCTGAATCTGGTTGTTACCACAAGAGGTTTCAGGGGCTTCTGTAGTACCAGAATTTACCACCTTCTGCAGAATTTGCGGAGGTGCAGGGTTTAACTCGATATTACTTTGAGGAGCTGGAGCTGAGAACTCACTCAAGTTCACACGAACCTGCATCACTTTTCTCGGTCTCTTTCCAGCAGCCGATTCTGAGTGAGATCGCACATCTTGAGTCGGTTGAGGCCTTGGTTGTTGCACTGACACAGGAGAGCTGATGACAACACTGTCGCTGATGGGTGGTTGTAAGCTTAGACTTGCTCTTCGTGAGCGTGTAGAGCCTCCCATGGTCTTCCTGATCAGGTGTTCTGCACTTTCATGCATTCCTATTCGACGCTTCTCAGCTCGAAAGCCCCTGGCGTTCTCGTTCTCATCATGTTGCAGAGCTAGCATGTACTCTTGAATTGCTTGATTGAATTCCCCCTCGGAGTTGTAGCAGCCAGCACTATCAAAGGGATATTAACACTACAGCAATTTTCCAGTACGTTTTTTTTATTACTTACCGAGCGTAACGCGCCATAACATGATTTGGATTCAACTCGAGGACGCGTGAGAAGTCGCTGTGGGCGTCGTCTACCCGGCCACTCTTGAAGAGCGCCATACCACGACTGAATCGTCCGTGGATATCGTCTGGACGGCAGCGTAGTATCTCTGAAAAGTCCAGTACTGCTTGATCCCAC